TTAGTATTGGGCTGACCCAATCCACAGAAACGCACCCAAACCCACCCAAGTGCAGTCGGTGCTCGCAAGCAACTACACATCCGGCCCGGATCAACACGGCATCTCCGCCGTCCGCCTTACTGCACCTGTGGCAGTCTGTCACACCAGGCACCATTAGACGCCACCGTGCCCAGTGACGCCCGACTGCGCCTGTGGCAGTCTGTCACACCAGGCACCAGCAGGCGTCACCATACCCAGTGACACCCGACTGCAACTGTGACAGCCTGTTACACCAGGCGCCAGCAGACGTCACCGTGCCCAGTGACGCCCGACTGCACCTTTGACAGTCTGTTACACCAGGCACCAGCAGGTGTCACCATACCCAGTGGCACCCAACTGCAATTGTGACAATCTGTCACACGGGGCACCAGCAGACGTCACCGTGCCCAGTGACGCCCGACTACACCTGTCACAGTCTGTTACACCAGGCACCAGCAGACGCCACCGTGCCCAGTGACGCCCGACTGCACCTGTGACAGTCTGTTACACCAGGCACCGGCAGGTGTCACCATACCCAGTGGCACCCAACTGCAACTGTGACAATCTGTCACACCAGGCACCAGCAGACGTCGCCGTGCCCAGTGACGCCCGACTGCGCCAGTGACAGTCTGTCGCACTGGGCGCTATCAGACGTCACCATACCAGTGGCGCCCGACTGCTTCTGTGGCAGCCTGTGACGCCAGGCTTCATCAGACCCCACCGTACCCAGAGATGCCGTATTCCTGACTGCACCAGTGATACTGTCAACTTTGTCACCACCAGACGCCGCCGCGGCCAGAGATGCCTGACTGCACCTGTGACACTCCGTCACACCGAGCGCCATCAGATGCCGCCGCGGCCAGAGATGCCTGACTGCCCCCGTGACACTCCGTCACACCGAGCACCATCAGACGCCGCCGTGACCAGTGGCGCGTGCCGCAGCTGCTGTCGGGCCGAGTGTCGCCAGCGGCGGCGGCCGGCCCGACAGGAGACGGCCACAGCCACAGGAACAATGGACCGGAGGATGGCAGTTCTGGAGAGGATGGCAGTTGGCGCGTTATGCTGTCCGGACCCGACGGAACAGAGGTCAGTGACCACGCTGCTGACCTAGGTCAGTGACTAGGCCGGTGGATAGTGGCTGCTCAGTGATCAGCGGTCACAGATCGCTTAACATGAGTGAGTGATCAGCGGTCATCGATCGCTTATCATAAGTCAGTGATCAGCGGTCAACGATCGCTGAACATACGTCGGTGATCAGTGGTTACCAATCGGTTAACATATGTCAGTGATCAGCGGCCACCGATCGCTAACATAATCCAGTGATCAACGGTCACCGATCGTTTAACATAAGTCGGTGATCAGTATTCAGAGTCGGGAAGTTGTTGGGTAGCAGTCTGCGATTAGTGGCTGGTTGTCGGAAGCTGGCGCGCAACAAATGCCAGACATTGCTGGTATACACTTGAGACATTGGGAGACAACAGTTCCTTCGACTTACTTATTTCCGTCCCGTTTTTCATCATGCAGAGACAATATCGGTGTTATTATAAACACCACTCGCTTTTGAATACCACTCGCCTCTTAAGGTGTTGCCTGTGACGCCCAGCGTGCCACTTAGCACGAAACGTCAGAGTGTCACGTGCCGAGAACCGAGCTGGCACCTGAGCACAGCCAGGCGCCTTCAGTGTGACAAACCGGTGTGTCCCGTTATTTGTGACTCGTCGGGGCGCGTCACGCTGCTGACTGTGTGCCCCCCCCCCCCCCCCCGGGTCCGGCCGTCACCACGAGCTTCAAGGGAGGACTATTAGGAGGCGGCCTGGCAGGTGGCCGCTTTGGGGACGGCTCAGCCACCTGTTGCGTTCCTCACCGGCTGACTCGGATCACACCGACGACGTCATTACTGTCGTCGCGCGTTCCTGACCGGCGGGTCCCGTCTCCCTCTCCCTCCCTTCATCCCTCCGCCGCGAATCCCACTGCACGCCAGCACTGATCTCCCCCCTTCATCCCTCCGTCGTGAACTCCACTGCACGCCAGCACTGATCAGGGGCTCCCGGCCACTCCTCGCACCCGTGACCTCGCTGCGTGCCCCCCGGCTCTGACGCCAGGTCAGTGTCACGGGAGCGGGCTCGCGATCACCAGCTGTGCGTCGGGCCGGCGGCCAACTGTCGGCGCGTAACAGATCGCCGTGCCGGCTGAATGAAGCAGGCGGCGCGCTGGAGGCGGCGGAGGCGGTCTGCTCTGCTGCCAACTGTGCCGGCCCGGGGCAGCTGGCTCTGTCGCCATCCCAGCACGGTGATTATCATTCCTCGGTGTCCGTTTACCTCGATTTTGGTTCAAGTCATGCATCACATGACGTTATTAAAATAGAGAATTATTAGTTTACGACATTGCAGTGCTGTGAATCATCGATATCCCCATTTTTACACGCAGTCCGTGGCACAGTAGCCTGATTGCGATGGTTCAGGTCAGGGTGACTGCACACATACATAATGCATAGCATAAGCCTGGTGCGTATGCGCAGTCCTGGTCATAAGATGCTGTTCAAATCAAGATTGTAGGAGCCAACCAGCAAAACGGCATGGCCTCGGCTGCGTTCTTTTGCCTTCGCTGGCGGGCTGGTTCTTTCATCGCCGGTACCCATGGCGGGCACTCCGCGTAACGCGGGGGACTGAACGACCCTGGAATGGCAGTAGCGCCAGACGGGTGATAAACCGTCTGAGGGGCGTACGCGGCCTCTTCCCATCCAAGCATCATTACGGCGACGAGCGGCCGCACAGCGAATGGCCAACTGGCTCCGATGACGGCGCAGATGTGCCTCTGTGCAGTCCGCCAGCGGCAAATGGCGGCAATCCAATGATGGCACTCAGACGGCGACAACCGACAACAAAACGCTCGCCTCATGAATGACGCTGGGCGAAATGCGGCATGATCAGTCTGCCTGAGGTCATCAGCTCCTTTGCGTTATGCACATGCGGCCCCGAGCCCGCAGCAGCGCAGCAGACCTAGTCAACGGCTGGGAGATTCCGCCCACGACAGTCCGCGGGACTCTCCACGGCTGACGGCTGTGGGTACGTGTGGGAGACTGAGACCGAACGCCGGCGGGATGGTACGCTCGCAGTCTCTCCACCTGAGCCGAGCGAGGCAGTCAGTCCCCCCCCCCCCCCCCCCCAGCGTTACTCTCCCCAAAGCTAGCCCCGCCGCTCCAGCTGACGAGCTGACCCGACGCACCGCCACCTCTCCGCCGGGTTCACCAGCGGCCACCAGCAGGACCTCCCCGGAGCGGCACCGCGCCATAGATGGCGCTGGTGCGGCGCCGGCGCGCCGCCGCCGGTCACAGGACAGTGCCGAAGTGGCTGTCGGGGTGGTAGGTCACGCTAAGTACGCGGGCGAGGTGCGAGAACGCGGTGAGGTGAGGGCGGTCCGGACAGCGGCGGATACGGCGGTGGGTGCCTGTCCTCGGCGCCGTGGACTGAGGCTACCTTCATCGGTGGTGTGGGAAGGCAAGACGCCACTGGAACTGGTTTGGGATTTGTTCTCCGGAGCGGTGGAAATTGGAGTCTGAGTCATGACGTCAACAATGATCTGCGGTCTGCTGGTGGTGGTGCTGCTTTCCGTCGGAGGTGAGCCGCCCAACTCGCCTATTTTATGCCTCTAGACTTCGTGATTTCTAAATGTCGTCAGCCACATCGCTACCCACGTGATTATGTTGTGGGCGTATGGCGCAGGGACGATTGGGAAACATGCTATGCAAAATAATAGCTGCTAAACATCATAAGTAGCGATTTATAATATGCTTTAGGAATATCCACGCTGTGAGGTTTCTGTAGACTTGTCACTTAGGCTTGGGCCGGGGTATGTCCTGAGCTACATGCCACAAATATATATTTGTTGACAACGTAATGTTGGCAGCAGTAAAGAAAAAAAGTCTACCTTAAACTTCATATGCCTCACAATCGAGTAAACTTTTTTTCTAACACCGTATCTTAACCACGTGGTGCATATAAATCAATCAACAAAACCAAAACACCGCCTTCGTCTGTCCCGTGAAGGGCATTCCCCAACCGCCTTCGTCTGTCCCGTGAAGGGCATTCCCCAACCGCCTTCGTCTGTCCCGTGAAGGGCATTCCCCAAGGGCGGACGGGATAAACGATACCGCATCGGCAGCCTGAGCGATAGTAGCCCGGCGGCGCGCCCTGAGCGGCTCCAGCCCGCTCCTCCATCCCGCGCGCCCGCTCCAGCGCCCGGCCTGCAGCCTCTTCCGACCGGCGGGTCCGGCTGCCGGCCGGCGCCGACCGCCGACGGGACGCTCTCTGACTGCAGCGCGTGCCGGCCGGTCTCGCCCACCCACCGGTCGGTCGCGAACCGGTCTGCGGCCCGCAGCACGTCAGTAAGGCCGCGCGCCTGATGGGGCGGCGCCGGGCGCGGCTGCCGCGGCGCCGGCACTGTTGTGGCGAAGTAGAGTGAACGGCTTGTGTGCGGACTTCTGCGTGGCGCTCGATGAGCAGCTAGCCTCGATGAGGCGTTTTGTTCTTTCTTCCGCGATGGACCAGTGCCCATCAATTTAGCGGCGGTGTCATTCAGGACCGACTTTGACCACCAAATTCGGTACGATCGACTCCAGACGCCAGTGGCAGGGGTATCGCCTGCTCTCTACCCTGCTCCATTGAATCTCCCAGCGGGCGACCCTCGATTGATCACCTGAATCCACAGCACCAAACCTGTCCAGTCAATCGAGCTATTTTCGCCGGTATCGCGCAACACGTGAAGTCACTCTGGTCCACTTACACGGCAGTGTCGACCGTCGACCGTCCATGGAACGCTCGACGTTCCCCTGGTGCCCGCTCCCCCTGTATCTCGCCCGACAATGCCAGACCTCCACTATCGGCTGTCGATCGCACATTCCGCCGGGCGGCCACGCGCCTCAACGCGCAGGCATGTCTCGGAACGCCGGATCACCTCATTAAACGGCCGAGCGCGGCGCATCACAATGCGGCGAGAAGCCGCCAGAACAAGCACTTACGCACTCAGCGGCGTCGCGGCGCGCTCGGTGAGCGGCGGGTGCGCTGGACGGAGCGCGAGGCCATTCCGGGTGCACTGTGGTGCTGGCCCAGACATGGCGCTGACGCCGTTGACATGGCGCTAGTCCGTGCCCTGAAGTAGAAGGGGGCGATGGGAGCAGGCTGGCAGCCGTGGACAATGCGGCCGCGGGGTGTCGCGCGACGCACCGAGCTCTGGCTGTGCCAGGAGACAAAAATGCACAGCGTGCAAAAAATAAAATGCACGGCGCGGTTGACATTGGTGCTGTGCATGGGCGTCGTGCACTTTCATCTGTCAGATAGATGATGGAATCGAAGCTCACGTACTCCCAGATGGAAGCGACGACGTGGTACTTGAGCGGACTGTGTATGTTCCTGTTGCGTCTGTGTGCTTTTTCAGCGGTTTGCTCACCGCCGGCCACGGGCACGTTTCACCCCGGCGCCGCTTTTCGCTGCGCAGCGCAAAATCAAGACGCAGCGCATACGCCACGACCACCTGCGCAGTTTGGGGGATGGAAGTAGCCTGTTACCCTCTCAGTCCCTGCTTGCACGTGCCAGTAAGAGCCCACTGACGAGCGAAATATCGGGACGGGCGCTGAACTTGTGAATACTGCCTTAGAACACAAACTGCCGACAGGAAAGCTGCCGGACGTGGAAGATGTTCGTGGACGTGGCCAACAATCTATATTTGTACCAATCGGACCAGCTGCTCTGTCATTGGGAGCGGCCAGATGGCCTCCGTGAGGTCGTCTCGTGGCCGAACCCCACATTTCCAATTGACATGTTGTGTTTAGCGAGCGGGATTAGGGTCCCCGTGGCTGCCCACTTGGCTCGATTCGGCGAGTCAAGCAGGAAGTGGGGTCGCTCCAGACGAGGTAATGATCGGAGGATCGGTCACAGCTGGGATGAACTCTGACGGCTGGACGGGTGTGGAGCCGGGGGCAAGATGGTCTCCAGCATCAGCCCACGAAGGGCCCACACACACGGAACTCTTCTTTGACTAGCCGCATCTTTGTGCGGGTTTGGATGGTGACTGCTGCACTTGGCAAAAATGTCCATGATATGCTTACAATTTTGCCTGGCGCTTGGCCGTGGCCAGTGCTATAAGCAGTGATGTCTGGGGGCCTTTGGCATGTTTTGATGGGTCCGTTCAGTTCACGTCTCCCAGTCGTGTGCTATTCGTACCATGGCCTTGACTGTGATAAGCCTACGGAATATTATAGTGAACAAGAACATCTTATAAAATTCGGCGTTGTTTGCTGCCGGTGTTTCAGGTGTTTCCACGGAATGGAATTCTTTGAACCCATGAGCATTTTTCTTCACGAATCCAGTGATGATCAGTTACAAAGAAATGCAGCCGGACATCACCTAATGCACTTGTGTGCATTATTGGTGTTCTGTTGGAACCGTCCCACATATATCAATTGCATATGGAAGCCGCACTCTGGACGGGCTAGCGCCGATACGGATCGCTGAGCATTGACGGGCTCAACCGCCTGAATCACGTGGGACACACAAGCTGCTTTAGAAGACTGGTACATACATCCTCCAAATCAGAGCACTTGCCTCTGGAGACAAGACGCGAGTCTCCAGACCAGAGCGCGCACCAGAGCGTGTTGAGCCCTCCACTCGGGCAGCTCTCCCACCTCGGCCGTCTTCTGATCTCCCTCTGGAGACAACACGCGAGTCTCCAGACCAGAGCGCGCACCAGAGGGTGTTGAGGCCTCCTCTCGGGCAGCTCCCCCATCTCGACTGTCTTCTGATCTCCCTCTGGAGACAAGACACGAGTCTCCAGACCAGAGCGCGCACCAGAGCGTGTTGAGCTGTCCTTTCGGGCAGCTCCCCCACCTCGGCAGTCCTCTGATCTCCCTCTGGAGACAAGACGCGAGTCTCCAGACCGGACCGCGAACCAGAGCGTGTTGAGCCGTCCTTTCGGGCAGCTCCCCCACCTCGGCCGTCTTCTGATCTCCCGGTGAGCCGCGTTCCTATGCCGCCCAGGCGTGGGCCTGGTCCACGGTAGCCACATTGCAGCACGGTCGCGACGTACGCTCCGCGGGCCGCCACAGCGCAGGAATTTGGCAGCCGCCGGCGACCGCGCGAGCCGAGAGCAGGCTGGGGAGGGGTGGGGCTGGGGGTGGTGAGTCCACGTGGTCGGCAGTGTGCGCTGCCTTGCCAGTCTCAACCGCACCGCTAGGGTGCTGTTGGAGACGCACGAAAAGCAGTTTATGCTTGGAGGTGAAGCCATCAAGCTCGCCGTATTTTGTACTAAGTTTGAAGGGTGTGGCAACTGTGCCCTTAATGGGCGCAGGAATGGGGACAGGGGGCTATGACGCCTGCGTCTTGAGAATATTTAGTGTTTACCCTTAAGCGGTACATGGAATGCATCAACCTCAAAACCGCATCGCCCGGTGCTCCGTCGTTACGCTCACGACGCTCTCTTCGCGTGCCACGCAGTTGTAGCGTCTCATGTTACCTGCCATTCGAGCAAAAATCACCTTTTGATATATGGTTATCTCAGTCGGATTGTTTTGTTTTGTCACTCGTATCTGGTTACGAAATTGGAAAGCTCACATGTGATTCAACTGCGTGGGAAGACAAACAATCGCGCAGATTGCCTTTTGCTGTCGAGTGAGCAGCCCTGAATGCGTGTGCTCTAGCTCTCCGATAGAGGACTGATCAGATGATCGCGAGGCGGTGGGCTGATCAGAGGCCATGGAATGAGGACTGGCTGCTGGCAATGTCCGCTCTCCCCAGCTGGGCTGTGGCGCAAGGCCTCTGACGATGTAGCCGCATTTCACTGAATAAAACAAACAAAATAAAATTGTATCATGGCTCCGGCGGTTTTGCTTGCATACAAAAGCTTCCGCTTATTACCACCGGCGCCTCAGGTGGCCCTAATGGAAACTTGTCACGTGGTGAGATGTACATCGGCAACCGAGTTTGGCAAGTTCGCACGCGATGACTCCCAGCCACGGATTCAGGTAGATTGGCCAGGTCTCCCGGGCTCACTTTCCACGGAAGTAATTCTAGTCGACGTCCTTGGCGGCCAGGGCAGGGCCTTGAATTCATTATTCATCAGGCTATAGCGCGATGTTTACGTCGACGAGAAGTCTTTTGTCCATTTGGCTGAAGCATGAAGTAATGAACATCAAGCACGATTAATCTTCTGGACATGCCATCAATATTACTCTGTGAACAGAAAATAACAGTCAATGTTGATTGCATGCAAAAGCACGCTAATACACGTGAGGCGGCAACATCGTGGGGAGAGTGGGGGATGCGTTCTCCACAATGTCAGAACATGGGTCACTGTCCCATAACCTCGGAGACCCAAAATTGTCTGGCACATGCACACGTGTCCCGGGGAAGCGAACCCGTTGGTAACGCAGCATGTCTGTCAAACTTTGAGAATCGTTTAAATGTTCTTGTTCTGCTTGTCTGCTACCGTAGCCGGATGCTCACCGATCCGCGGAAAAGTATGTTTGTGGTATGAAGCAGTGCACCTTCCAAGATCAGATCACCCACCAGCATAAATAATTATGTAGGCTCGCAACGTCTGTTAAAAATTGTGCCAGCTGAGGGGA